CGATCTGCTACGTCGGGGACTAAATTAGATTTTCGTTAAAAAGGTAAAAAAGGTGACGAGGAACAAAGCCCACATGACTGCATGTAAAGGTATAGTTAAGGTGAACTGCGAGTACGCCTTCTGCAAAAGTTCAAGAGTAATAGGATGTTTGCGGTTGGGGGATACTCCGAGATAGCGCTTAACACCCCTTAAAACTAACTGGAAACGATAATGTGTGTCCTAGACCTTTCCGAAACCTAACAGCTGATTTACATGTTTAAGACTGCCGATATGATTGATGATCGTGGCGTACGTTCGACCAGAAAGGTTGAGATAAGCAACGTAACGAATAAGCAAATCGATCTGAAAAGGAAACGGAGAGGCACGGACAGAATGACAAAACCTAGTGTAAACGTTAACGTGAGACTTAATATTCTTATGCGTCGATGCGGCAAAAGCCAAATGAACTAAACGCTGAGCAAAGGCATCTAATGAAGAAACATTGGTAAAGTTCCCTGAAAAAAGAAACGATAAATGTCTGAATGATTGAAATGAGGAGACTAACCAAAAAAAAACTATAACAAAAGCGAAAAAATATCAGACAACGTCAAAATAACAGAAGTCTCCAGGTAGCTCTTCGAAAACGTAACTGATCCCGAGAGCTGTGGTCGCTTGGGCGAACTGAGATTGAGAGGAGGTGTTATCCCAACGACTCAAGGCATCGGCTAATGTGTTATGCTCGCCGGGAATATGCCGGACGCCAAGGTCAACATCATGAAGCGCTGAAGTGAACCACAACTGGCGTAAACAGCGCTGCATGAAAGGATCCTTGGTGGAGCCCGAATTGATCACGGTAACCGCCACCTCGTTGTCGCAGGAGACGACAAATCGCTGATGTCACAATGCTGTGGCCCAGAACTTTACCGCGACAAAACAGTGAAGAGTTCCGGAGCAGAGTTGTGAGACGCGGCGTGGAGGACAAAATTCGGGAAAGGGAATGTAAGGCATTTGTCGAGACACGAGGCTCCGCCGCGAGTCAGACAAGCATCCGTGGTGAAACGAAAATCACCAAAGGACCAGTCGGCTGGCTTGATAACCGAAACACCATTGTAAAGGGGAAGAAAAGTTTGCCACCAAGCCAAATCGTGACGCATTTCCAACGTGACTAGTTGAGATTGGAAGGGAAACTACGCAAAGCGTTCAAGAGGCGAGAAAGAAAAATCCGACAAGCGTGGACGCAAGCAGTCACGAAAGAAAGTTTACCGAGCAAAGACTGCAGTTCTTTGACGGTAAAGCGCTCGCGTGACAACCACGAATGTAACTCATCGGATAATTCGCTAAGCCGCTAATCTGGAACACGTAATGTAAAATCCTTGGTATTGACGAGGATACCCAAGCAAACCTTCTCAAAGGCCGGCGGTGAATCTTTTTCAGGCGAAGAGGCTAAGCCTAGGGTATCGCAAATAGATTGCAGAGTAGCAAAGGCATTCTCAGCCAGCGACGGTCTTTGAGCGCCGTAAAAATCATCTAGGTAAACATCCGCGGAAAAACCGGCTTGCGTGAAAATATATATGACGGCCTTAGTTGATCGTTGACAGATCATGGCCGAGGTCCGTAAACCGAAAGGACACCGCGCGCGTCTCAAAATAAATATGATTGTCAAATGTGAAGCCCAACGGATAATAGTCTTTAGGGTCGATCGGAAACTGGCGATAAGCGCGTTGAGGGTCTTTTTAGCTCATGGATGACGTAGTCATGCCATGGGCTTTTGGAGGCACTCGAATGGCACTCGATCACTCACTCACTCACTCACTCACTCACTCGATTCTAATTAATTTATTCATTAAAGTCAGATTAGACACTTTACTCTTACCTCCCTTACTTATTATTACTTTTGTTCCAAGTGCCTTTTACGCATATGTTTGGAATATTGTAGAGGGTACTACTAAGGCGAATTTTTTTCCCGACACATCAATTATAGAGATGGGTTTTGTATAAATGGAAAGATTCTAAAGAACACTGATAACATCATCCGCAAGAAATGGACTTAGAATTTTTAAAAGGACATTGAAATAATTGAGCGTGGTTCATTGCTGCATATTTGGACGAATTGTGCACATTATTTTGTTCCCGATATTATACTTGATATGGAGAAGATGCGATCAACAGGAGTGTGAAAGAGCTATTGCAGCCTGACGATGGGATTTCGTTCAGCGAAAAGCGAATAAGCCAAACAGCCTTATAATCACTACAAAAAAACGGTCCTCGAATTGTTAAAGCGACATTGAGGAGTATCTATTGTGGTTTATTCAGTTATTTGGACGAATCCGTTCGACCATTTGTCTACGTATGCAAACAGGGAATGAATTAATGTTGTGTGAACTAGAAGCACAGGTTTTAGAACCAACAAGCGTTGCGCTATTTTGCTTGAATTCTTAGGTGATCTTTGCCTTAAAGTAAGCTCTCGTTTGTCGGTGATTCCATTTAGCAGGGCTATTAATGTAATTTCTACAAGAAATGCTGCGCTGGTATAAACAAGTGTCTAGAACATTCAAGTGGAGAAAGGCAATCGGATTCTGCGACTGCGTTTAAATTACTTGGCTAGGTCAGAGCACGTACTGCTTTGAGTTAAATAATTTTTAGCTCGTGTTTATCAAAAGCGTTTTCTAAAGCAGTTCAATTTAGCCGTAAACGCCTGTATTCTGTATTTAATATAGCTCGTTCTACAAATACTAACCGTTACGTACTCTTTGTGAACAGCATATGGAAACTTTATTTAAAAGCATCGCACTTTTAGGAAACCTTCGAGGTCCATTAAAATATTGTTTAAAACCACGGTTTAAACTCGTGCTTATGTAAAACTTGGCTATTTTCCATAAAGTGCACTGTCGTTCAGAAAGTGTTTGACAGTCACATGAGAAAGCAAATTATTTTACAACTAAAAAGCGCTAATAATTGCTTTTAAAGGTGATCTTTGCTTTGTAAGTAGAAATGCTGCGCTGGTAACAAGTTTCTAGAATATTCAGGTGCACATGCAATCGGATACTTCGAGTCACGCTGTATTTTGGCAAGTCCGTACACAATGAACCGTTCAAAAAGATTTATATGTTTTTCTTTGATTATTGAACTGTCTTTTCTACCCTAATTCAATTCATCCATGAGCTCGCTCCTAGGAGCCTTTGATTTGTAAAGGCAACAACCCCGGCCTTTAGCCAAAATGAATTCGCACAAACGGTCGATGCCCGGAATGGGTAATTCAGGTAGGTGTTCATTGGAATGCCACTATTGGCAGAAAATGTTGGTGGAAAACTCAAGTCCAAGACCACTCGACGTTTGGAAGAACCACGTTTTGGAACCGTTTGAAGTGGAGAACAAACTAGAGGCTTATGTAGCGGGTTTGTCGAGAAAGGACCGGCGATCGCTCCGAAAGACAATTCGGTCTGAATGTAGTGTCGTACGTGATCAGGAAAAGCCAAGGCAGAAGGATGATTGCACATGGTAGAATGCGGCGATTGACTGGCGGTATAATTAATCGGCCAACCATACTTCAAAAATTCCACCACGATCTTATCATGATAATCAAGCAAAAGATCTTCCCACATGTTAATCTTCAATGCGGTATGCACCGGGATTTTTGACCCCAATGCGTTGGGACTATCTGATCGAGGAGCAAGGATGTGACGGATAACAGCGGAGACGTTAGAACTCTGAGTATAAGCGTTCAATGAAACGAGGCTCGTCGTTCCTGTGTGTGGTAACGTGTCCTGAAACTCATGTGCCGTTGACAAGTCCGAGGTTGAATTGAGCGAAGAAAGTTGGGGAGGGGAGGTGGGTTGTCAAAAAGTAGATGGAATGGGGTTTCGTCTCTGAGGGCAATGGAGCATAGGGTGGACCTGAGTGCAAACACGACACTTGTGTTGAGCGGAATAGGTGTTTTTGTCCTTTTCGCAAGTGCAAGAACCAGTGTAATTCTACTGCTTACAACCGCGGGTTTCCTGCCCCCCATCCTGTTTTTCGAGCGTGTGGTCGAAGGGGGCGTAGCCGTCACGCGAGAGGTGGGCGCTGTACGTAAATCAGAATGCTTGAAAAAGGTGTTTGCCCGATCGCGAATTTCTGCCGTGTCAGACCACTCTAAGCGATAGAGTTCAACTTGTTTGGCGATATGAGCGTGAAAGGATCGCACACTGCTCCAAGAATACCTAGTTCCTTTAATCATAAGGAGTTCCAAGTGACTAAGCATAAACTTAGTCGCCTCGGGATCGTACGTTTTGATCATCGAAAGGTACCCGGCGATAAATTCTGCTAGATCGAGTTTGCCGTATTCTACGTTCGTAGACATACCCGGAGAAAAATCTTGAGACCAGTCTACATGGCGTTTTTTCTTTGTTGCAACAGCAGCAGCAAATGTTCCGGTATCGGTGGCTGATGGTGTTAATGTAGGAGGCTATGCGTGCTTTAAACGAAGAAGCTCCAACTCGAGGGCCAATTGTTCTCTTTCTGCCTGCACCAAGATGATCCTCTGTGCTAACTGATCATTCTGAGTGGGGGCCTGATCGTCAAGTAACGGCTTGTGCTGTGAAGCGAGGGCTTCGATGCCGGTTAAAGGTGTCTCTACCTTTGCAGTGTCCCCTGTCAGGGACAGGCTTCGGTCCATTGATGAACCAAATGGAGCTGGGGGTAGAACCGAAGTCGTATAAGAAATCTTCATTACGAGTTGATTTGCTTTTACGCGTGGCGCGCTTTGTTGCGCCGGAGGAAGCTGCTTGAGCCATGATGTGGGCGATAAGCGTGCTTGCCCTACGAAACGAGCTTATGACTGACCGATCAGCGAACCTAGCGACCAGATAAGCTCAGTGACGTAAAATGATCGATTATTGCACGTCCGTGAATCACCAACTTTCAAGTTATCTCACAGTGCCTTTATAAAATGGCCAGAGTCGGTGGCCGTACGGTTTCCAAAACGCTACATCTTGACTTGAATGTTATCGAGTCCTTTCGACCGGAGATAGTTGTAAATAATAATGCAGTTGGGTTCCAATGATTTAACAGACTCTGACCCTTTACATGTTGGCTTAGCTATTGAAGATTTTGTTAGGCTATTGCATGACACCTATGGTGTTAAGGTTGTCTGCGTTTGCCAGACCATCATGCGCCAGGGCGCAATGGTCTTTAATCGTAAGGCCAAGCTGTTAACGAAATACCCTCGGGTAGTTTTAGAGCCTATACCTTATGCTATCGTTTGGGGCCATAGGGGGTTTTGGCGCCCGACTCAGAACTTTTACGCACGTGATGGTGTGCATCTCAATTCCTTCGGTCAGGAAAAATACCATCGTAGTCTTAGGGGAGCAATCCTACGGTCCTTGAGCCTATTCAGCACAATTTCGTCTTGTTGAATTTTCAACGTTTCATTTCATTTCCTAGTCGAGCCTTTTAACGTTTGCGTACTTGCCTCGCCATGCCTTTGTTTTAGTGACAGCCGTTTATGTTACTGACTTGCCGCCTTTATTTAATTGGGCGCATTCTATTTTGGCTGCACTCATTGTTTTTACAGTTCTACAGAACTGTTGTTTGCCTTCCGTGCATAACAGATTGTATTTGCTGGCGTTGGCATTATCCATACTTTGTGTCTTGGTGAATATTATGAGTGTGCAATCCTATTCGACCGCCCTTATTTGGGTGTGTCCTCAATGCACTTTGATATTCGTTTACCAGGCATTTATGTCACTCAATTCTTGCTACATGGCTCGCCATTTGGTTTTCAGCAGAGTTCGGTTATTCGTCACCATTATGTGTGCGTAGCTTAGCCACATTACCGTTTGTTAAACAAAAAACACAACTCAAAGGAAAAATAAACATCCCGGCTCAGACCTTTCATTAATTTGCTCCTCTTTGACTCATACCGTTTTGATATCTTATCTTATCTTAGCGGAAACATATGGCATTTAGCCTTATCTTAATCTAATTACTTTTACTTATCTAAGTTATGCCTCCTAAGCCGAAGAGAACGTCTCAAACACGCACGCGAAGTTCTGCAAAGCGGGAACGTGTAACAGAAATGATCGAAACCCACCCTGGACCCAGTGATCAACAACAACCTGCAACTTCCACGGAGCAGCCTCTCATGGCCGGCAATATGCAGGCCCTCTCCGCCTCCATTCCTAGCGCAGTACAGCTAGCTGTCGCGGAGGCCATGAAAGCGCAATGGCCAGCCGCACCCTGCCAGGAGACACAGTCCTCCACGGACCAGTCAGTGGCCAATATAGTCAACGCATCCTTGGCCGAGATCACCCAAGGTACTCCATCAAGTAGCGAAAACGTTGTCACCTTAGCTGAGCCTGGGTTAGACTCGCCGGCTCCGAAACAAATTTTTTCTAGCGCGGCTGTTTCTCTTAGCAGTCGGGTGAGTTCCAAAGTCAAGGCCAAAATGTGGTCCAACGAATATCTTGATTTTGGAACTCTCCTCTCGTTTTCTCCCAATAATCAAAGGTATTCTCAGCCTCTTCGGATGGTGAGACCACCCGCCAACACTTAACTTTAGAACCTAGCCAACCAGTTAAAAAGATCCAAACTATCAACCAGTGGCTCTCTGCATTTAATATTTTTGTTGCGATCTATTCGGAAAAAATACCCACGGACACACCCAAGCTGATGAAATATTGTGAAATTGTCCGCGATATCGCCGCAAAACCAGGTGACTGGTTGCATTATGACGAACAATTTCGTTTCATAAGGCAATCAGCCCCTGCACAATACCCATGGGACGCTATTAACTGGGAACTTTAGCTGAAGGCTGTGACAAATTTTCGTCCGAAAACCCAATTTTCCTCGGACAAGGGACCACTGCGCTCCCGCTCCCAGTCCTTTCCAAGAGGCACATGCTGGCGTTTCCATGCGGGGAAGGTGTGCAACGGGTGCCATTTCGAACACATTTGCTATAAGTGTGGCTCGAAACACCCTGCCGCACAGTGTTCCTCCAGCCAAGCTAAAACACACCCTGTCAAAGCAGGCATTTCAACCGTCGCTGCAAAAGCCAGTATCACTCGTAAAGGTGGATTGGCTTAATTTTATTCTTAGCGGATACGAAACTTCTCTCCGCCTTTATTTAGTTAATGGGTTTACTTTTGGTTTTCGCGTTGGTTTTGATGGGGAACGCTGCGCGTTGCACTCACCCAACCTTAAAAGCGCTTTAGACCAACCGCTAATCGTTCGGACCAAACTACGTAAAGAGTGTGAGGCCGGGAGGATATGTGGTCCTTTTATTTGCCCTCCTTTTCCACACTTTGTTCTCCTTTAGGCATTGTTCCCAAAAAAGACCCCTCTGAATTCCGTTTAATTCAACACCTATCGTACGCTCAGGGCACCTCAGTAAACGATAACATACCGGACGCACATTCTTCGGTTCACTACGCTTCTATTTCTGATGCCATTGCGGTACTTAAAAGTTTAGGGGCTGGTTGCTTTTTGGCCAAAACCGATCTTAAATCGGCTTTCAGGATTATTCAAATTCATCCGTCCGATTTTCCTTTGCTAGGCATGGAATGGGATAATCAGTTTTACTTTGACGTATGTCTTCCTATGGGACTGTCATCCTCGTGTCAAATTTTTGAAGCTTTTAGTTCTTCCTTGGAGTGGATCTCTGTGCACCGATTTGGCGCATCCGGAGTTCTTCACATTCTTGACGACTTTCTTTTTATTGCGCGTACCGAAGAGCGATGCCGAACCGATTTAAGCAATTTTCTTCGTATGTGTGATTATCTCGGCGTGCCCATTGCTCAGGAAAAAACTTGTGGACCGTCTCAAGTCATACAATTTGCGGGTATCACACTCGATTCAATTAATCAGGAAGCTCGTTTGCCGGAAGATAAGCTTCAAAAATGCCGCCTTTTACTTGAATTCTTTTGCAAAGGTCGTAAAGTTACCTTGAGAGAATTACAGTCCCTAATAGGTCTATTAAATTTTACCTGTTCTGTAATCGTAAATTTTACCTGTTCTTCGCCGCCTAACTGATCTCACTATTGGGGGGAGACGCCCACATCATCGCATTAGGCTCACTAAAGAAACCAAACACGATATGGAGGTATGGCTAAAATTTCTCAGGGAATTTAATGGCCGTTCCATTTTCTTGGATGATAAGTGGAACACATCTCCTCCTCTCGAATTGTATACCGATGCGGCCGGATAAAAGGGCTATGGTGCTATCTTTGGCCCTCACTGGTTCTTCGGCTCTTTTACGGATCAGTGGCAATCCTTCAATATTACCTTTCTCGAACTATTTCCTATTGCTCTCTCAGTGAGTATTTGGGGTTCTCAGATGGCTAGCCGATGTATCGTGTTTGTTACTGATAACGCTGCGCTGGTCAGTATTATCAATCAACAGACATCCAAACACAAATTAGTTATGATATTGATCCGTGACTTGGTTCTGACTGCTCTCAATTATAACATTATCTTCGTGCTCGACATATACCAGGTCTTAATAATACCCGGGCCGATTGTCTTTCACGATTTCAGATAGCACGGCTCAAGGAACTTTCACCCCAAGCAGACGAATTGCCAACAATAGTGCCCGAGATTCTTTTGCCGAAGAGTTGGTCGCTAACTTAGAGAGTCTCTTGAGCTCTGTATTGGCGTCAGGTTCGGGTCAGTCATACCGTAGAGCGTGGACACTATTTCGTGAATTTCACGAGAAATTTTACAAGACAAAAGCCTTCCATTTACCGTTAACCACCGCGTCTTTGGCGCTTTTTATTTCTTTTCTCGACGGTAGAAATCTTTCGCCTTCGACTATTCTTTCTTATCTATCGGCCATTGGTTACGTCCACAAGATGAAAGGTTTGCATGACCCCACAAAGGCTTTCCTTATTCAAAAACTTTTGACCTCGCTCAGTCGTCAGAAATCGTGTGATGTCAGGTTACCGATATCTAAACCTATCTTGCATGACCTCGTAAGCTCTCTCCAGCACACCAACTCTTCGGCAGCACAGCGTATACTTTTTTCAGCCATGTTTCTCACAGCTTTCTATGGTTTCTTTCGCATCGGTGAACTAGCGGCCAGGAGCGCGTGTCACACTACCGTAATTTCGTACGATAACATCCGATTCCTCGCATCCGGTGGGAAAATCCACTCTATTAAGATCACAATCACCCATTTCAAACATAACACAAGCAATCGCCCTTTTGACCTTGTTATTCCTGGTGATGAATCTTCACCGTTTTGTCCTGTGAAGTTCATACTCCGGTATTGCCATCTCCGGGGTAACAAGCCCGGTCCCCTCTTCTGCCATGCAGACAATACACCGATTACGGTTAACCAATTTAACACCGAACTTAGGCGCTGCTTAAATTTCTGTGGTTTAAATGCTCAACGCTATAAGAGTCACAGCTTTCGCATCGGCGCGGCCTGTCTCGCAGCAGACAAAGGTTTTTCTGACGCCCAGATTCGCGCTCTTGGCCGATGGAAGTCTGATGCCTTTAAACTTTACATTCGTAATTCTACATTACAAGGAATTTAATTTCGCATAGGTCAGACATGGGCTGCCATGCATCTTGTCTGTCATATGTAGAACTTTTCGCTAATTGCTACCTAATTGGTGGAGTGTTTGTAGTACTTTATAAAATCGTAACATTTCACAATGCCGCGTGTGTATGCGATGATGGTCAGACAGGGGCTGCATCATCTCATACAAGGACTCTCCAGTGCGTTTCTTCATCGCAGAGTCTGTTTCGCTGTATCAAAAAAAAAAAACGAGTGATGGTCAGACGGGGGCTGCATCATCTCTTAACGCAATATAAAGGTTTCCTGTTTTAAGCTTGAATAGCTCTCTAGTCGGTTGGTGAAGTTGGTCACGCAAGGGCTGCAACTTCCCGTCCTACTTGCCCACGGGCGCTGCTGGCGTCTTGGTGGGGGTGCCACACTCTGTGGCTCTTTGGCGGTTTTTTCCCCCACCTTTGCTGAAGAGATATTTAGTTTATTATATATTGGCAAATCTTGAAAATAAAGTTCGTCACCTTTGGTGGCCAAATTTTCTCCAACCAAATCCGACTCTGTGTTTATCTCCTCAGCAAACAAGTGCGCCGCCACGCAGAGCTCTTGGTCACGCAATGCAAGGTTTTCAGCTTCCTTCTTACCGAGAAAAAAAAAGTGTTCATTTGACTCGTCTCAGTCTGGGAAATTAAAAATCGATGGCTCTCTGGCACTGTCTCAACAAGCTCATGCCTGTTTAGAATGGACACCAATGGAGAAACTGATCACCTTCAACATGTATTGTTTGTGGACATTTCATACAAATTCACTCTTGCATAGGCATTTGTTTCTTTGTCGTGTTTACATTTGAGCTTTTACCAAGGTAACCATTTACTAAGCTCAAGTTACTTAACGTTGGTACATTCGTCCAGTGTTTACATTTGCTCAAATAACTCAAGTTGATCTGTCAACACTCCCGCTATCTGCATTATCTACGTCATGTAATCGAACTGGCGGAAAATTCTAAAACCATGCTCGCTTCAAGAAGTAAAGTGGTGGCTTTCGTGGCCATTGCTTTTTATTTGTTAATTCAAGAGCCGCAAACAGAAACGTCAAGATTTCGTAAGATGTTGATGTTACAACACCTCAAGAGGTCGAGGCGAAAACGGATGGTTTTACTCCAAATTGCTTTAAAAAATACCAGACGAGCTAGACGTGCGTGGACTTGGCCGCGAAATCAGTTCTGGTTTGAGAGCCTTTTGCAACGAGATTTCGTGGAAGATTGGTGGAAAGAAAATTTCAGGATATCAAGGCGTACGTTTGAGTACATTGTTCGAGTGGTTGGCCTGGATTTGACGAAGAGAGACACGAGATTGCGCCAATGTACCATGTAAACAAGCAAGTGGCGGTACTGGAGACACGTATAGATCAACTGAGCTGCAATTTGGCATTGGAGGGTGTACAGCTATATTGATAACACACGATTTTTGTGAAGCAGTTGCCAAAAGGGCCACAGAATTTATTAAATTTCCAGCGACTGAGCAAGAGGTGCTACAAAGCATTCGCTTGTTCACAAACAAGTCCCCGTTCCCGCAAGTGGTAGGAGCAATACTGCATTAAAAACAGTGCCTGTCGACGAACGGATTGAATACTGCAATCGAAAGCAAGACTATTCTATCGTGATCCAAGGAGTTTCTGATACGTCTTTTGAATTCCTTGATGTGAGTACGGGCTACCCCGGTAGCTTTCACTACGCCCGTATTCACCGTTTGAGCAAACTGCAGAGAGAAATTGATCAAGGTGCCTGGCTAAACGCGCCTTCGAAGAGAATTGGGGGTTCTGAAGTTCGACCTCTTCTGGTAGGGGACTCGGCGTATCCTTTGTCTGTTTGGCTGGATGAAGCCGTTTAAGCAAACACCAACATTAACTGAGAGCTAATTGCGTTTCAATCGCGCCCACAGTCAATCCCGGGTTGTTATAGAACAAGCCTTCGGAATTATGAGAGGTCGTTGGAGGTGTCTCTATAAACCATTGAAGGAAAAAACAAGCAGAGTCCCCACCACTATCAAGGCTTGCTGTGCCCTTCACAATATTTGTATAGATGTTGGAGATCCGAGCGCTAAAGACCCCGTTGAGGATGACAATGAAATGGATCAAAGTTCTTTCAATGGAGATGAACAGCTTTGCGCAGGGAGCATTAGAGATGATATAATGGATCATTTGTCATAATACAAATATTAAATCATGTTTATTCTTTTTATTGGAATGTTTTGGGTTAAGTTGAAAACACACAGTTGGATTGACTGGAGATCAATGTACATAGCCTGAAATTTGGTCCCTTTCCATTTGTTAGTATGTGTAATCAAATGGTGATGACTGAAATTAGGGAATAATTTCACGCGCGTTTTGTCCAAATTCTAATAATTTTAGGATTTGGATTTGGATTTTAGGATTTGGACAAAACCAAGTGAAATTATTCCCTAATTTCACGAGTATACCATTTGATTACCTATTAATATCATGGGTGACGAATTACTTTAGCAATCTTGGATTTTTGACATGTTTATCTTGGATCGTCTCGATCGAGAACTCCACTCTCTCAAATGTTTAGACCTTAAATTTGGCTTACAAAGTTCAGACTTTTTCGGCAAAATACCTGTTAGAATCCTTCTTGATGTTCTCTTGTGTGTTCAGGTTTTCTAAAGCTTCTTTTTGTGCCCTGACATCTTCATTCACGGCATTTTAAAAAACTTCGTCGCCATCTTGACACTGAGACGTACGGAAGGGTTGCCATGGCAATTTTGTAATTTCACATGTGAAATTACAAATTAACGCTGAAATTTCGCGCCAAAATTAAGGAGTAATTCGTCACCTATACCATGTTTCTCACAGCTTTCTATGGTTTCTTTCGCATCGGTGAACTAGCGGCCAGGAGCGCGTGTCACACTACCGTAATTTCGTACGATAACATCCGATTCCTCGCATCCGGTGGGAAAATCCACTCTATTGAGATCACAATCACCCATTTCAAACATAACACAAGCAATCGCCCTTTTGACATTGTTATTCCTGGTGATGAATCTTCACCGTTTTGTCCTGTTAAGTTCATACTCCGGTATTGCCATCTCCGGGGTAACAAGCCCGGTCCCCTCTTCTGCCATGCAGACAATACACCCATTACGGTTAACCAATTAAACACCGAACTTAGGCGCTGCTTAAATTTCTGTGGTTTGAATGCTCAACGCTATAAGAGTCACAGCTTTCGCATCGGCGCGGCCTGTCTCGCAGTAGACAAAGGTTTTTCTGACGCCCAGATTCGCGCTCTTGGCCGATGGAAGTCTGATGCCTTTAAACTTTACATTCGTAATTCTACATTACAAGGAATTTAATTTCGCATAGGTCAGACATGGGCTGCCATGCATCTTGTCTGTCATATGTAGAACTTTTCGCTAATTGCTACCTAATTGGTGGAGTGTTTGTAGTACTTTATAAAATCGTAACATTTCACAATGCCGCGTGTGTATGCGATGATGGTCAGACAGGGGCTGCATCATCTCATACAAGGACTCTCCAGTGCGTTTCTTCATCGCAGAGTCTGTTTCGCTGTATCAAAAAAAAAAAACGAGTGATGGTCAGACGGGGGCTGCATCATCTCTTAACGCAATATAAAGGTTTCCTGTTTTAAGCTTGAATAGCTCTCTAGTCGGTTGGTGAAGTTGGTCACGCAAGGGCTGCAACTTCCCGTCCTACTTGCCCACGGGCGCTGCTGGCGTCTTGGTGGGGGTGCCACACTCTGTGGCTCTTTGGCGGTTTTTTCCCCCACCTTTGCTGAAGAGATATTTAGTTTATTATATATTGGCAAATCTTGAAAATAAAGTTCGTCACCTTTGGTGGCCAAATTTTCTCCAACCAAATCCGACTCTGTGTTTATCTCCTCAGCAAACAAGTGCGCCGCCACGCAGAGCTCTTGGTCACGCAATGCAAGGTTTTCAGCTTCCTTCTTACCGAGAAAAAAAAAGTGTTCATTTGACTCGTCTCAGTCTGGGAAATTAAAAATCGATGGCTCTCTGGCACTGTCTCAACAAGCTCATGCCTGTTTAGAATGGACACCAATGGAGAAACTGATCACCTTCAACATGTATTGTTTGTGGACATTTCATACAAATTCACTCTTGCATAGGCATTTGTTTCTTTGTCGTGTTTACATTTGAGCTTTTACCAAGGTAACCATTTACTAAGCTCAAGTTACTTAACGTTGGTACATTCGTCCAGTGTTTACATTTGCTCAAATAACTCAAGTTGATCTGTCAACACTCCCGCTATCTGCATTATCTACGTCATGTAATCGAACTGGCGGAAAATTCTAAAACCATGCTCGCTTCAAGAAGTAAAGTGGTGGCTTTCGTGGCCATTGCTTTTTATTTGTTAATTCAAGAGCCGCAAACAGAAACGTCAAGATTTCGTAAGATGTTGATGTTACAACACCTCAAGAGGTCGAGGCGAAAACGGATGGTTTTACTCCAAATTGCTTTAAAAAATACCAGACGAGCTAGACGTGCGTGGACTTGGCCGCGAAATCAGTTCTGGTTTGAGAGCCTTTTGCAACGAGATTTCGTGGAAGATTGGTGGAAAGAAAATTTCAGGATATCAAGGCGTACGTTTGAGTACATTGTTCGAGTGGTTGGCCTGGATTTGACGAAGAGAGACACGAGATTGCGCCAATGTACCATGTAAACAAGCAAGTGGCGGTACTGGAGACACGTATAGATCAACTGAGCTGCAATTTGGCATTGGAGGGTGTACAGCTATATTGATAACACACGATTTTTGTGAAGCAGTTGCCAAAAGGGCCACAGAATTTATTAAATTTCCAGCGACTGAGCAAGAGGTGCTACAAAGCATTCGCTTGTTCACAAACAAGTCCCCGTTCCCGCAAGTGGTAGGAGCAATACTGCATTAAAAACAGTGCCTGTCGACGAACGGATTGAATACTGCAATCGAAAGCAAGACTATTCTATCGTGATCCAAGGAGTTTCTGATACGTCTTTTGAATTCCTTGATGTGAGTACGGGCTACCCCGGTAGCTTTCACTACGCCCGTATTCACCGTTTGAGCAAACTGCAGAGAGAAATTGATCAAGGTGCCTGGCTAAACGCGCCTTCGAAGAGAATTGGAGGTTCTGAAGTTCGACCTCTTCTGGTAGGGGACTCGGCGTATCCTTTGTCTGTTTGGCTGGATGAAGCCGTTTAAGCAAACACCAACATTAACTGAGAGCTAATTGCGTTTCAATCGCGCCCACAGTCAATCCCGGGTTGTTATAGAACAAGCCTTCGGAATTATGAGAGGTCGTTGGAGGTGTCTCTATAAACCATTGAAGGAAAAAACAAGCAGAGTCCCCACCACTATCAAGGCTTGCTGTGCCCTTCACAATATTTGTATAGATGTTGGAGATCCGAGCGCTAAAGACCCCGTTGAGGATGACAATGAAATGGATCAAAGTTCTTTCAATGGAGATGAACAGCTTTGCGCAGGGAGCATTAGAGATGATATAATGGATCATTTGTCATAATACAAATATTAAATCATGTTTATTCTTTTTATTGGAATGTTTTGGGTTAAGTTGAAAACACACAGTTGGATTGACTGGAGATCAATGTACATAGCCTGAAATTTGGTCCCTTTCCATTTGTTAGTATGTGTAATCAAATGGTGATGACTGAAATTAGGGAATAATTTCACGCGCGTTTTGTCCAAATTCTAATAATTTTAGGATTTGGATTTGGATTTTAGGATTTGGACAAAACCAAGTGAAATTATTCCCTAATTTCACGAGTATACCATTTGATTACCTATTAATATCATGGGTGACGAATTACTTTAGCAATCTTGGATTTTTGACATGTTTATCTTGGATCGTCTCGATCGAGAACTCCACTCTCTCAAATGTTTAGACCTTAAATTTGGCTTACAAAGTTCAGACTTTTTCGGCAAAATACCTGTTAGAACCCTTCTTGATGTTCTCTTGTGTGTTCAGGTTTTCTAAAGCTTCTTTTTGTGCCCTGACATCTTCATTCACGGCATTTTAAAAAACTTCGTCGCCATCTTGACACTGAGACGTACGGAAGGGTTGCCATGGCAATTTTGTAATTTCACATGTGAAATTACAAATTAACGCTGAAATTTCGCGCCAAAATTAAGGAGTAATTCGTCACCTATGATATTACAGGTATAATTGATGAGCAATTTAATTCACCGTGGTTTAAAAATGTTATAAAAGCTTTCCGATGTTTAGAGTAAGATTTTTTTTTTTGAATCATTGAAAACAAATTATTCTTGTATTCAAAAACTCGTATAAGTTGCGTTACGGTTTTCTCTGGTATGTGTATATTAATTGCATTTCAAAAAATTAATCAACAGATAATTGTACTTTTCAAAATCAGTTTTAAATAATTTCTCAGATATATGTATTTTTTTGGCATAAGCGATAATTTTTACCTTCTTTATATTGTTCATTTATGGAATCATTGTCCTGCTACATAGTTATCTTGATCTTGAAATTAATCATACCACATGAAATCATGGTCAGTGAACTGAAACGAATAAAATGTTCTTATAAAACAAGTTAAGGTCTGAACTTTACTCTTTCGCATTGGCAACGTCCTTTAAATGTTTCCAAGCAGCTTTAATGCATCCATTGAAAACTTTTGTTGTTCTTTTCTGCTTTCCCTCTCGGCTTCTTGCACTCGCTTCATGAACGCCTCGTCTCTCTCTAGCCTGCGTAGCAAGCGTTTCTAATCGAGTTATGGCGCGAAAGTTAGAGCGGGAGCAAAAAAAAAGGTGGAAGGGGGAGGGGGAGGGGAGAAGAGGAAACGCTTGCCCACAAACCTCACGATTCTGGAAAACGCCCCTTGATATTTCACGGTTCGGTTCATTTGTAAATTGACAGCTCGTGAAAATAGAAGTATAACGAACAGATTACCCTGGATTACCAGATTTGTAAAATTACTTTGTTCTCTAATAGAACACGTTCCAGGCGATTGTAAAAACTGTAATAAAAAAGGTTTACTATAAAAGAAGGTTAATACTCTGAGCGATTGCTTCTGAATTTCTTGTTTTTTATTGTGGCTTTATCTCGTCTGAAACCTTGTCGAAACGTCAAAAATGATTTGTCTGGAACAATTCACTCCGTCGGCTATAAAAGTTGCAGAGCGACTGCTCTTTAGCCCGTGTCGAAACGTTCTCTACAATACATGGCGCTAAATTTCCAAGAAAGAAAAAGAATCTCTTCATTTCAAAAAGCTGACAAATCGCTTGTCCATGGCGGCTTTAACTAGTGTCTAGTACCGATGTTCTGATTTACGTTGATGTTATCTCCAGCAAACAGTCCATTTTTTCCAGTCAGATCCGCACGCCGTCGTTCCGTATAAATTGGCCTTACCTAGTCTCCACTGCTCGATCTCCCATTATACTTTAAAGACTCTGATCTCATAAACCTTCGCGCAAACATGATTCAAATCAGTCCAAAGCAATTGTAATCTGCCACCACAAATCAGATAAGACCAGATCTGTGGCGCACAAAGCATACCTGGTTTGATTGGTGTTTCGAGTGCTAAGTAATCAACACTACCAGCACCGCACCAATCAGAAGCTGCGTTGGTAGGCGAACGCAGTTTTTCAAAATCGTTGGGTTTGCGGGCAAGCGTTTCCTTCTTTCCCCTCCCCCTTCCCTGTCATTCCTTTTTTTTTTGCTCTCGTCCCAACTTTTCTCGACGAACTCGCGCGAAAACGCTTGCTACGCAGGCTACGTCTCTCTCTTGTGCTCTTTCCATAAACGACAGCACTGTAGGCTCATCTGCTATTGCTGTAGCTTTGGTCTTCTTCCTGGCCGCTTTCTTTCCATCTTTTCGATTCTTTGGTGTATTCTTTGGACTACTCTTTGGTGTACTTGTGCACTTTCCCTGTTTGCCTTTGTTCTTGAAGAATAAGGACTTCGCAAAGGCCATTGACTCGTCTTCCTCTGAGTCAGAAGTGCCTACTTCACCAGACGGGCCAGGTAGATCATCGGATTGGACAAGTTTCCTCTTTTGAGCGGACGCAGCAGCGCAATCTTCCTCATCCAAAATTTGTTTATCGCAGATGCCTTGATCAATTTGTGAGGAACTCTGGGCTTCGATCGGCGAACTACTCTCCAACACGTGTCAAGGATTGATGGCTTCTCGATTACCGAGGATTTCGTCCATGTCCTGATAATGTTTAGGCACAAGCTCAAGGTCGCCTTCTGCTTCGTTGTCACCCTCAACATCTCTCCCTTTTCCATATCCAGTGGTCTGGAGTTTGTCTTTGGTTGTTTTGTATTTTTTTGTGTGATTGCTCATTTTATTTTTGCATTGCTGCGCTGTCTTCTCGCTTGAAACATGTTCTCTCCTACATCTCTCGTGCAGTTGCTTTGCAATAGATTCCCATTCTGGCGAAGTATATGCTTTATAGCGAAGCTTCTCTTCGTTTTCACCGAACAACTCGATGAGGATTTTTTCTTCAGTTTCAGTCCACCGACTGGTTTTCTTCTTCTGCGCAGCGCTTGACAAATCTTCACTAGTGGAACTTGCAGGAGCATCCGACTGCAGTGAATTAACAGGAGCAAATTGAGGTGCCATCATGTGCATCATTCCATAATATCCGGGGGAAAATCCGGTGGTTGATCATACGCAGAGTACGCGTGGTTGTATGCGAAGAAACGTGGAATATTGTGAATATGCAGCATCCTCCCTGGTGGGAAAATACCACGACCATTATTACACAACGAAGGATCGAAGTTTGTCTAGAGAAAGTTGTAAATAATACTGAAAATGAAAAATACCATACCTTCTTTTACCTGACGGATTGTTCGCCGTACGAAGATCGATCCAATCCTTCTCTGACTTCTCTGTTATCTGCCATGATAGAAACGCTTGGCCGAAAACGTGACAATCGCACGATCTGCTCATTGGTCGAGAACCATATGGTCAATGAGAGTACAGCATAGACTATCGATATTTTTAACAACTTACATGAGAATTGACCGGAGGTGGCATTGTGGGAGACTAAGCCATAGAGTACTAAAGTGATGACGTCATAAAAACGAAATTTCTGAAATTATGGGATTTGTCCGGATATTCTGAAAGAACAATGCCCAAGAGGCCTACTTACCAAAAATGAACATTTCTGGGCAAATTGTCTCTGAGATATTAGCCGGTTAAACTCAGAAAACTCCATACAAACCATTCTAATTTTTTTTTGGGTGGACGCCAAAAAAATTTAGAAGGGTTTGTATGGAGTTTTCTAGGCATAACTGGGCTACGATCTCAGGGACAGTTTGCCCAGAAATGCTCATTTTTGGCAAATAGGCCTCTTGGACATTGTTCTTTCAGAATATCCTGACAAATCCCATAATTTCAGAAATTTCATTTTTATGACGTCACACTTTAGTGCTCTATTGTTTCGTGGCTATAGACATATGTTATCACAACTTGAAGACAATTTCCATTTGATTGTTAAGATAATGCCAGATACTGTAATGGACTAGACCTTGAATGACCTTGCCGAGACATTGCATGTTAATTGAACCAATGAACGCAGAGGATTTAGTATAAAGAAAAGAGATTCCGTCTGTAAGGAGAGATTTCCCATGTATTCTTTATTTGATTCGAATTTCATATCTAGCTTTTAAATATTCCCTTTGAAGTTGTGTTAGCCGTAATTTACATTGAATTTGCATTGAGTTGTTTTAGTTCCCTTAAATTATACACATTTTACTTCAATGTTTACTTTTAAAAGGATAATTTGTTTCTGGATAATTATACAGCTTAGTCACTGAATAATTGGATCTTTCGCCTGTTCAAATACCAACCGTTCGTAGTTTTTAGTTTTGACATTTTAGGAAATCCTGAGCAAAGGAAACTCGAATTCTTTTACACAGCTTTCTTTGTAAATTTCCTAAATTCTTTTGCTTGACTGACATTTAATTTTGAGTTATTTGAACTTTAAAACTGAATTTATCCAGAATTGTTTTTGCTGTTCAGCTGATTTTATTCAGCCTTCTTTCCATTTGTTTTGTGATGTTGTAATAGGTTGATCGGTTGGTATAAATAAAGCACTGTTATTCCTGTTTTTCGATTTACATTGGGGAGTCATATGCTTGTACGATTTTACATTGCGGATTTATTTGACTCTATGATTTACGTTCACGAACTGAAGATTAAACTGTTGAAGTCCAAGTTTGAGTCCTGTCCTGTTTCCAGTTGTAGCAGATCCTAGTACCTTGGAATAGTGACGAGTTCCTTTCCCGCTAGCCAAGCGAGTTGCAGAGTTACGAGTTCTCTTTACGCTTATTTTCCCGATTTGTGCTTGGAAGGGCAAAACTTATCGTCACACGTCTACTAAATCGACAGAGTAGCTCTTTACACCGCCGATTTAACAGTCAACAAGTTAGTCGCCTGTAAACGGTCAAACTTTACGAAAGCTTATCGTGGTTTTAACTTTATTTACATTTATATAAATAAATAAATAAATAAATAATGAATTAGAAGTAGGACATCCACATGGTGGTTCTTCGTCTACCTGATTCCTGGTCGAATTGGAGTTTGGAAATGTTGGTTTGTGAGGAGAGGGGAAAACCGGAGTACCAAGAGAAAAACCTCTCGGACCAAGGGAGAGAACCAACAACAAACTCAACCCACATATGGCTTCGACGCTGAGATTTGAACCCGGGCCACATTGGTGGGAGGCGAGCGCTCTCGCTAATGCGCCCCCTCGCTCCCCTACTAACAACCGTCTTTGCGTTCTTATGGTGAGCCATAACTTCATAGAGTTCTTTTTACTTTAATTTGCAGTCCCACGGAAGCCAACAAACCTTCAAGTCACAAGTGTTCACAACCTCACCATCACACTGACATGGACAAAACCTGCGCTGACCAAAGTGGACACACCAGTCAGCACCAGTCTCCTTTACAAGGTGACCTACACGGTCATCGGAAGTGGTAATCCACAAATGGCCCAGACCGTGAAAACAGAGAGTGCTAAACTAAACTTGCAGGTTGATAAAACCTACAATATTCACGTTAAAGCAATTCGCAGCGATAATCATTTAGTACAAAGTGATTGGTCGGACACCTTAAGAGTTGATTCTAAGAATTTGGGTGAGTTTTCATAGATGATTTTTTGAAGTTGTACCACAGGCAGCCCAAACTCAGTATGAGAGTTTTTTGTGGTATCATATTGCGTCATCCTCAAAATGGCCGTGATTGTAAATGATTTGTATTGGAATCAAGGAGATAAATAGGCCCTGGAATTTTCCTACTAACAAAAAAACACTATACCTTGTTTATATACTTGGTTCGTTCTTGCTTTAAGCAATTTCCTTTATTCCCGAGTTACCTGAATTCCCATGCAAATGCTTTCTGTTCACGACCGTTTGAGGATTATGATACCACGCGTATTTATGATTTAACTGTCATTCTGAGCTTGGGCTGCCTGTGGTCTACCAAACATTTCTTACGAGCAGACATAGACATAGGCCTTTCCAGTGGGGATGAGGACGGACGATACCAAGATGGATGACTAGTCCCAGTACTACTTCTCTTGACCAGACTCAGGTTGTTTATCATGCATTTACATGGGCAAACCGGTAGCTTCGCTGTTTGGGCAACTTGTAACCAAATTCAGCACTAGTAAATTTCGACAGAAATCGCGTTTACCATTTGTACAAATCAGTTCCTTTCACCGAAAAACAACCTCGAAGACCTAAAACTGGTATCAAAGTTGCGATTTTACATATGTAATTCCGTCCGAAAGCCACCTTTTCAGATGTTCCCTTGCTCCTGGAAATTTTCTTCTGGAACGACCCAAAAAGTCGTTTTAACTTCCATTTAGTTTCTAACCAGATTTTCAAAAAACTTTATGGGAATGGTAAAAACAGCCAAAAGTTCCATGCGAAGTGCCCCTATACTCAATCCCATAACCCATGAAAGGTAATCTCAACCCAGGGATTTTCCCTTTTAAAAAAATGATTTCCTGAAGAAAAAAACCCTGAAGACTAGGTTGCATAAATGATAAACGTTTGGGATATTCACTATTAACTATCATTACCTGCCGATTCTTCGCGGTCCCTGTTCAATCAAATCGAGATTTTTTCTAGCATACTGACTGTATATTTCAACTGTCGGTATATACGGTGTGCCTCCTCGAACGGGGGGGGGGGCAATAAAGCTTATAAAATAGAACCTCTGAATATTGAAAGAGCATAACAGTTTCAGTTATGTCTGAAAATTTTAGTCCAATATAACGAATGTTGTCCGGGAAATTACACGTTAAAAAGTAAAACAATTTACAAAGAATGTATGGCCTATCATTAACTTTTTTGCCACCAGCAAGTTTGCAATTTTTAATTGCTGGTATTTCCTCCAATATTGCTTGCAAAGAGCTGAAATTGCACAAATTGGTCAAGTTAATCAGCTCTTTCAACTTTTGAATTTAGTTCGTATAGAGGGCCATTGCTTCTGTGAGTTAAGTTGTATGCAAATGAGCAAACATGTAAACAATGACGTCAGCAAAGATTCGCCTATATGCTCCAACCGTCGCTCCAACCTAGATGCCCACACTACGAACTCGGGTGAGGTCTGGGCACGAGATTAATATCAACGCTGTTTTTCTATGTTGTAGTCCCAGGGAAGATAGCCAATCTTCGTGTAAAACGCCGGTCAGGATTGGTAGTCCATTTGGCTTGGAACGAAACACGAACAACTATAAACGGCAAACCTGATACGTCTGACATGTATTACATGATTCGATACAGGGAGCTTGCTAACTCAACGACAAGGCAAATCAGACTACGCACAAATCAAGCTTCGCTGCGTCTCCTTGCAAACTCCAGGTATGCTATAGATGTGAGAGCGTTCAAGAAATTGATCCCGCTTGTGGTTGGACCTTGGTCGGACAAATTAACTCTTCAAACTAATGAATCCGGTGAGTATTGGGCTTCCCACGGTCCGTTTCTAGAAGGTCCAGGTAAATTTTCGGGTCCGAAATCGAATATTCAAATAAAGATCTTATACCAAGGATTTCAGTTAGTACGCAACCCCCAGGGTTTATGGAGAAACCTTTTCCTGGGAAGAAGGATCACTCGCCTACCTGGGCTACCCCAGGCGAGCGAACTTTTCCTTCATTTTCTTACAAAACTTGGCGAACCGTTGAAATGAAAAACAACGGAAAAGAAATGAAAAACTCGGAAAGAAGGATTACCTTCCTAGTAGGGTCTGGAAGGGGTTTCGCGTGATCCGTGAATTTACCGGTAAACAGAGCGTGAATCGGGAAAACTCATGAAATACAGTCGTGATTCGGGAATCATCACGCAGAATGAGTTGGCATCGATCATTAGCTATTCATGACCGCCAAAGCGGCAAATTCGAATGCACGAGCGCTTTCAATAAGCTCTGAATAAGAGAAGAAAGGGCCTCTTTTGGCTCACCAGCGTTGACAAAACTCATTCGCACGACTTCGTTAGCCCCAAAATTACAAAACCAAGGACGGAATATTGATAATGAATGATATATCAATGAGTTAAGCAAAAGAAATAAGCGTTTTACGAAGTAGAAGAACTATCACCTTGCACTTGAACTTTGCTGAAAACATTTTTTGTATGGAAGCTGACTTTGAGCGCGATTTTCTGGAAACCAGCAACAAAATCCTTTAAACCACGGACGGAATATGTTAGATTGGTCTTTCTTTAAGCAGAGTACGTTTAAACATTTAAAATTTATGGGCAAGAACCACTATCCCTGCGAGTTTGAAAGAGTCTGGTAGAAACGTAGCCTACTTAAGACCAGCAAGCCATTGTTTTAAGTCTAGTAGGAATAACAATGGCTGTCAAAACTAACAATACGCAATTGAAAACCACTCGGTTATGAAGTAAGCCATTAGCTGTTGCCGCGAACTTTAAAATATCTATAAGCCGCTCGACTAAAATTATTAACCTGATAATCCAAATAATCCAAGCGTATGCGCTTCACTAGAGAAATGAATAGAACAAGTAAAAGTTTACTCATTGACTTAGTAAATATATATAGTTGCGTTCGACGTTCGAGAACGCAACCCCTAATTTGTGTTGGGTGTTTTGTACATTATTAGGTTCCCTGTGCAATTAATAAGGAAGGTTTTTTCGAGATTGCATTCGTCCGTCGTCGTCGACACACATTTGCGTCGCTTTGAAGCGCTTGCTTACGATTTGCCTCACTTTGACGCGCTAACTCATGTGGTGATTCGTGTGTCCTCGACGTTCATCTTTGAAACGTTTGCTGAGGTCAGCTATTCTGTCTTCGTAAATCGTTCATCTTTTAAAAGTGTGCTGAATCTTCGTAAAGCGTACATATTTAAGAGTTTGCTGAAGGTCTACTATCGATCTGTGTTTAATGAATCTTCCAAAGCGTTCATCTTTCAAAATTCTGCTGAAAGTTAACACCCTGAGTAAAATTTTACTTTGGATTAAACCTTCATATTTTTCTTCGGAAAATGCGTGCTACTCCTGGTGCATGCATCAAACCGGGTTGTTTAGCTCGGCGTCCGTTGTGCAGCAAAGTAAATTTACCGGCGAGTTGTGAAGCTCAGCGTCTGTTGTGCCACAAAGTAAATCTACCGAGTTGGGTAGCTACGCGGCCGTAGTGCCCAGAGTAAATCTACCGAGATGTGAAGCTCGGCGGCACCGTTTCATCATGACTTGTGATATTTTCGGCACTGGACAAACGAAAATTTTAGCTCTGTGTTATTTATTCGAAAAAACGTGACCACAGTAGCGCCCCTCAAGCCACTGAAATCAATACACTCGACCAAATTACTGGAAAAGTTATTGACGTGAGCCGCACACACATTCCGCTGAAGGCTTTGATGATTCCCTTGAAACGTGTGAAATTGAGAGGTGTAGTGTAATTAAACCAGTGTTCAAACACAATCATTGTGCCCCGGCATTCACCACAAAAATGTGGTCTTGGGTCGTTCTTTAATATCATCTTAAGTTAAGAAGACTTGCCATTAACGGTTTCCGGCATTTTATAGTAAGTTTCAGTAATTGTCTACATGTGGAATTCCCAACATTAAATAACAATAAGAATAATAACTGCTTTTTAACAGTACCTGGGCCGGGTTGTTCAAAGCTGGGTTGAGATAACCCAGGCGAGGAGGGTCAGTGCTAAATTTGAACTCAGATGTGAAAGCTTCATTTTGCCAACAAGTTGATGATTGGACGCTCTTGAAAATAACTGAGAAAATTATCCAAAGAAAAGTTTTTTACAAAAGAAAAAGAAACCCGGGTTAAGTGCTGATCGGCCCTCAAACAAATGCGCCCTGTTGAACATCTATTGCGCCAGTAAAACAAAAAGTTCTTTTTATACGCCCGAAGCACTCTGGCCAGTGTCTCCTCAAATAACAAGCACTTGAGACGAACCATACGATATCACGCTGATCACTAGCCTTCAAAACCTTTTCATTATCATACACAGTTTAAATCGAGGTTTTGCTGTACGCAACCCTTACGTTCAAAATATGCCATAATCATAGTTATTTATCGCAAGAACCATCCAGCCTTTCCCCTCAACTGCTACCTGCACGCCTAGAAAACATATCGAACGCACTCTCCTAGGCTCCGATTACTCCTAGTAGATATATTATATATTCACTGTGACACCTGATCCTCCAAAACATCGTAGTCCGTGAATCGAGATTTCTACTGATAAAACAGAAATAAGTGTCGTGATGACGAGGCTTCAAAGAGTGAAAACTTGTCGAGCTTCGATTTTATAGCAATAAAATTCATTGCCAGTAAAATTTGTAGTCGTTAAACAAAAAGTAGAGTATTACCAGTTTCATCACCATACTTTTTGATTCAAACCGATCACAAGGTCATTTAAGAATAACTCTTGCCTTAGTAGTCCAGCAATCGCTAAGAATCACTGATGGACTTGATCAGTTCGTTACCTAATCACGTGATTCGTAAAATGACTCCAAAAGGGGGAACGTGATTCGTGAATGTACGGAAATTTAACCCGCGATTCGAGATTCAGTACCCTGGGTGCCAGAGACTTTTCTAGCGCAGTTTGCGGCTTCGCCACTCGTGGCTTCGGCCTACGGCCGAAGATGAGTCAGTAGGGTCACCCTTCTAGCTGG